TGTTGTAAAGCACTACGTAAACTGATGGCGCTATATAAGTCCTGTATAATAATAATATATTTTTTTTTTGCCATGTGTTCTATTAAGGAGATTTCCCCTCACTTTCTGTCTTGTAGACTCAGCAGGAAGTGAGAGGCTATTTTTCCAGTGTGAAAGAAATTACAGTTGTCACAGGATCAAGTGTCCCCATTGAAATATTTATTCTCTGATAGCAACTCAAAATGATGGATCTAACCTTAGTGTTGATCCCAGTGACAATGGCGGCCAGCCTAAAATTTGTGGGCCCCTAACACAGCACCCAAACCCAATTGAATCCTGCGGGAGCTGAATCTTGTCATTTGTTTCTGGCTTCTTTCAAGGCCAATTTGCAAGCTTTTAGTAGAAAAGAAAATGGTTAGCAGGGCACTTCCATGGGGGACATATATCAATGCAAAAAGCATTTGTTCAGTGGCAGCCATATTTGGTTACTTGTAGAAGGTTCTCTTTATATTAATATTCAGTGGTAGATGGGTCCCCTGATATTATTGGTCACTGGTAGATGGGTCTGCTTCTAATATTGGTCAGTGGAAGAAAGCCCCCTATAATATTGGTCACTGGTAGAAGAGTTTCCTTTTATTAATGGTCAGTGAAAGAAGGCACCTATATTATTGGTCACTGGTAGAACAGCCTCTTTATATTACTGATAAGTGGAAGAAGGCCCCCCTATATTATTGGTCACTGGTAGACGGGTTCCCTTGTATTATTAATCAGTGGAAGAAGGCCCCCCCTATATTATTGGTCACTGGTAGAAGGGTCCCCTTTTATTATTTATCAGTGGAAGGCCCCCCTATAATATTGGTCACTGATAGAAGGGTCCCCTTATATTATTGATCAGTAGAAGGCCCCCTATATTATTGGTCACTGATAAAAGGGCCTCCTTATAATACTGATCAGTGGAAGAAGGCTCCGTGTATTATTGGTCACTGGTAGAAGGGCCTCCTTATATTACTTATCAGTAGAACGCCCCCCCTATATTATTGGTCACTGGTAGCAGGACCTCCATATATTACTGATCAGTGGAAGAAGGCTCACTGGTAGAAGGGCCCTCCTTATATTACTGATCAGTGGAAGACCCCCTGATATTATTGGTCACTGGTAGAAGGGTCCCCTTATATTATTGATCAGAGGAAGAAGGTCCCCCTACATTGTTGGTCACTGGTAAAATGGCCTCCTTATATTGATCAGTGGAAGACGACCCCCCTATATCATCAGTCACTGATAGAAGGGTCCCCTTATATTATTAATCATTGGAAAAAAGCCCCTCCCCCTATATTATTGGTCACTGATAGAAGGGTTTCCTCATATTACTGATCAGTGGAAGAAGGCTTCCTGTATTATTGGTCATTGGTAAAGAGTCCCCTTATATTATTGATCAGTGGAAGAAGCCCCCCCCCCCCCCCCCCCATATTGTTGGTCACTGATAGAAGGGGCATCCTTATATTACTGATCAGTAGAAGGCCCCCCTATATTATTGATCACCGGTAGCCCTCCATATATTACCCATATTGTTGGTCACTGGTAGAAGGACCTCCTTATATTACTGATCAGTAGAAGAAGGTCCCCCCTACATTGGTCACTTGTAAAGGGCCTCCTTATATTGATCAGTGGAAGACGGCCCCCCTATATTATCAGTCACTGATAGAACGGTCCCCTTTATATTATTGATCATTGGAAGAAGGCCCCCCTATATTATTGGTCACTGATAGAAAGGGTTTCCTCATATTACTGATCAGTGGAAGAAGGCTCTCTGTTATTATTGGTCATTCTGGTAGAAGAGTCCCCTTATATTATTGATCAGTGGAAGAAGCCCCCCCCATATTGTTTGGTCACTGGTAGAAGGGCCTTCCTTATATTATTGATCAGTGGAAGAAAGCCCCCCCCCCATATTGTTGGTCACTGGTAGAAGGGCCTCCTTATGTTACTGACCAGTGGAAGAAGGCCCCCTATATTGTTGGTCACTGGTAGAAGGGCCTCCTTATGTTACTAGACCAGTGGAAGAAGAGGCCCCTATATTATTGGTCACTTGTAGAAGGGCCTCCTTATGTTACTGACCAGTGGAAGAAGGTCCCCCTATATTATTGGTAACTGGTAGAAGGGCCTCCTTATATTACTGTTCAGTGGAAGAAGCCCTCCCCTGTTTTATTGGTCACTGGTAGAAGGGCCTCCTTATATTACTGATCAGTGGAAGAAGCCCTCCCTGTATTACACTGTTCAACAAATTTTTATTTTTTGCCAGTTTTGGAAACAAAAGGATCCATTTCTTAATGAATTTCACATTCTGAGTTCAAAATATAACAATGAAATTTGTCAATTGGCTCTAGTTTTTCTGTAAACGGAAAGTTTTCTACTATAGGCGTAATGACTACATAATGCACCAATAATAATTATATAGATAGATGTCTTTCCACAAATATAAAGCAAGTGATATTGACTACATAACAAAGCCTAAATGGCATAATATATTGCATAGGATTACCAAGAAAAATTATAGCCATAAGCTAAGTTGAATCATTTTAATACTTAGGATTCCCACTAGTTTTGTCTTCAGTTTGTGTCGGTTTTGCTTCTCTTGGCTTTTCTCTTGTATTGGAAGAAAGGGCTATCTCTTACAACTGCACGTGACTACACGCTTCAGGTTCTTCCTCACTTGACTCAACCACGTAGGATTCTGGTGCTTTAGAATTGGTAGCCCCTCTCCATGAGGAACTGGACGTATTGCCGATGGAATATTTGGATAGTGCACAGATAACTTTTTCTTCTTATTTAGCTTTTTTGTTTTAGGCACCATACAAAAGTAACAATTACTAACATGATCTGTTGGCTCTCTCCAAATCATTGGCACAGCGAAAGGCATAGATGCCTTTTTTTCCATTCAACCATTGCTCCAGTGCCGTCCCACAAGAATTGCAGCATATTTGTGGTGCCCAGCTCTTGTCCTGGTCTCCTATCTTGCAGCCAAAATACAAGTTGTAGGCTTTCTTAATCATTCCTTATCACTCCTTTTTTGTGAGATGTTATTTCACCGCAGATATAGCAGAAATTATCTGCTTTATTCACACAAGTTCGAGGCATTACTGAGTAGCCTATATAAGCATAAAACGAAATGTAAAGACGCTGTCGAACTACAATCAGCTACAGATACTGCAGCTTTTTATGCAGTGAAGTGATGCAATTAAAGGCTAATATTGCATATCATCTCAGTATACAGCAATTTTCTATTGGTCACCAGTATCAATTGCGCAATATGCAGCTGAAGTTGCATCATAATTTTTGAATGGCTTACGTCATTAGATGGGTGAATATATCATGGAAACTAGAGCCAATCAACAGTTTTTTAGGGTCATTTTCGTTTTCAGCACCCCATCCCACAAAATTATGTAAGATTAGCTAATTTTATGCCCAAAACATTTTACCTGTTGAACAGTATTATTGGTCACTGGTAGAAGGGCCCTCCTTATATTACTGATCAGTGGAAGAAGCCCCCCCTGTATTATTGGTCACTGGTAGAAGGGTCCCCTTATATTACTGATCAGTGGAAGAAGCCCTCCCTGTATTATTGGTCACTGGTAGAAGGGCCTCCTTATATTACTGATCAGTGGAAGAAGCCCTCCCCTGTATTATTGATCACTGGTAGAAGGGTCCCCTTATATTACTGAGCAGTGGAAGAAGCCCCCCCCCCCCCTGTATTATTGGTCACTGGTAGAAGGGCCTCCTTATGTTACTGACCAGTGGAAGAAGGCCCCCCTGTATTATTGGTCACTGGTAGAAGGGCCTCCTTATATTACTGATCAGTGGAAGAAGCCCTCCCTCCCTGTATTATTGGTCACTGGTAGAAGGGCCTCCTTATATTACTGATCAGTGGAAGAAGCCCCCCCTGTATTATTGGTCACTGGTAGAAGGGTCCCCTTATATTACTGATCAGTGGAAGAAGCCCTCCCCTGTATTATTGATCACTGGTAGAAGGGTCCCCTTATATTACTGAGCAGTGGAAGAAGCCCCCCCTGTATTATTGGTCACTGGTAGAAGGGCCTCCTTATATTACTGATCAGTGGAAGAAGCCCCCCCTGTATTATTGGTCACTGGTAGAAGGGCCTCCTTATATTACTGATCAGTGGAAGAAGCCCCCCCTGTATGATTGGTCACTGGTAGAAGGGTCCAGTTATATTATTAGAGAGATTCACGCTATTTGTCCTTTTTACCATCATCATTGAAAGTTAAAGTAAAATAAAGTTCCAAATGTTGGGTTGTCCCGATAACATAACAGAGGGAAAATCTCCCAATGGGGACACTGGTTTGGTTGAACTGCTTTAATTTGCACACATTTTCTCACTTCCTGTTTTGGCTATGAGACAGGAAGTGAAGGGAAATCTCCCCAATGGGACACAAGTGGCAAACAAAAAAAAAAAAAAACCTGACAGCGGTTATAACCCTCCATTGTCTATAGTTTATAACTCTAACAAATTGACTTCAGCTGTATTGCTACACACACTTTTTTCAGACACTTTTATCACCGCACACAAAAACAAAACATAGCACACTGACTAGAGGTCGCTTCTTTTTGGTATAGTACTTCCCAACAACTCCCTCGTAACTTCTGTGTATTCTAGCAGAAGATGCCACCACTTCCCACAACAAACATGGCTCCGCCGCAGAGTAATCTGCCGTCACATGACCACTCTTAGCCAATCATACGCTGTCACAACGCGTAATTCCGTAGAGCAATTTACTGTGTTGAGCGATCCAGCTCTCACCTTTCCTCGCTTTCACCCGCCCGGCCATGTGATTGGAGAGTTCCCCGGTTGCCTGGCGGAAGTAGTCGGTAGTCAAGGGGCGGGGATCCGCCGAGTTTGTATACTGAGAGAAGCGGCAAAGGAGCAGTCAGCGGCGGGTGACAGTTCATTCCAGTGACCAGGGCTGACAGCTCATCGACTGATCCATCTCCCGGCTGTGCGTGCTGTCACCCCGATCCCGACATGGGCTACAGATCAGACCAGCTGCTCATCGTCGTCTCCATATTGGAAGGTAAACAACCATGTTTTCCTGTATATGGGACTCTCTCCAGAGGGATCAGTGTGGGCAGGCTGGGCTCCATTGTGTGTATGGGAGAAGTATGGAGCCCCAGCAGTTTAGAGAGACAGTCTCCAGCCCAGGCTCCCCTTACCTCTGTAGCTGGGGTCTGTACAGGAAACATGCTCCCACACCCAGCAATCCAGCGGTGGGCTCTAGGGATGCAGCGCACCCAGTGCCACACCGCCATCTTCTTCTGATGTCATCAGGGACCTTCACCATCTCGTCTGGGTTCATGCAGCTGGCCCTGCATCCATGTGCATGGACCACGACGCACCATCAGGAAGATGACTGCAAAGACACAGCCAGCCCCCTTCATGACGTGGCACATGTGCGTTACAGCAACCTTTCTCAACCAGGGTGCCTTGAGGCGTCCTCAAGGGTGCCTTGGCAAAATGTTTACAAAATTCCCAAAACTTGTATACAAACCAGCAGGTGGATCAATCCTGCCTTTCAGTTACACAAAGTCACAGGTTTTCATTGTGCACCATTATGACCTTCTAGGTGATGGTGTCCTGACAACCAATGACATCATCAGTTGACGAGAATTTCAGCTGCCTGCACAGCATCCTAGTTTGATCCTCCCCTTCCCCTTTCCGGCAGTGCTGGAGTCACATTATTTCAGTGATGGAGAAAACTGAGGGAGAGGAGAAACATTGGATACTACTCAGTACCAGTGTGCAAAGGTGTATTTGCTTTGGAAGAATAAATCACCTCTAATGTTGGGTGTCCTACATGTGTGGATGTTGCTGTATTATATAAAACTTAGAATAGTTTTTCATGTTTTAGAAAGGGGTGCCCCAGGACTGCCCCAGGGGGACTGTCCATAATTTCAAGGGGCGCCCCGGGGCTGTCCATAATTTCAAGGGGCGCCCCGGGACTGTCCATAATTTCAAGGGGTGCCCCGGGGCTGTCCATAATTTCAAAGGGCGCCCCGGGGCTGTCCATAATTTCAAAGGGCGCCCCGGGGCTGTCCATAATTTCAAAGGGCGCCCCGGGGCTGTCCATAATTTCAAAGGGCGCCCCGGGGCTGTCCATAATTTTCAAAGAGTTCCTTGACTGAAAAAAGGTTGAGAAACACTGCTGTAGAGTACCCTTCAGCCTCCTGGGATTCGTGATGTAGGTATCCCAGGAGCCTGCAGGCAGCTGTTACTTAACCACCTGCCTACCGGGTGCTTTCACCCCCTTCCTGCCCAGGTCAATTTTCAGCGCTTTCGCACTTTGAATGACTATTGCACGGTCATGCAACACTGTATCAAAAGAAATTTATTTTTTAGACAAAGCTTTCTTTTGGTGGTATTTAATCTCCACTGGGTTTTTAATTTTTTGCTAAACAAATGAAAAAAGACCAGAAATTTTGAGAGAAAAAGAAAAGTTTTTCTTAGTTTCTGTTATAAAATTTAGTAAATAAGTAATTTATCTTCTTCACTTATTGGCAGTGCGGCACTGATGATCAGTGCCCTGATTATTAGTGTAAATGTCCTCTCTGAGGATTGCCGCTTATCTCTGACGGTGTATGAGGAGAGGACTGCCTGATAACTGGCATTTCCTGTTTACATGTGATCAGCTGATCACATAGTAAAGAGGCTACATTAGCGGTTCTTTACTGTGATCAGTGATCCTCTGTGTCCAAGGGACACTGTGCACCAACAATCGCTGCACACCTAGAGTGGTAGGATGTCCTCCCAGAACAAGAGAGCTCCCGCTCGTCCATCATTTCTCAGTACAGCGGGCAGGAGGCGGCTAAAGAGGAATTCTAAGCATTGGTATATGTTTCTATATAGTTACATTGGTCCAGCTTGGCCCAGTGTAACTATGTATATGCCATACCTGGCCAATGCCCCTGGAAGCTGGAAATCACTGCAGTATACACCGCTACTCCACTTGCTTTCAGGTTTCACACTGAGCGGCTGGCCTCCTGAATTCTGAACACAGGAGGGTGGCTTCTCAGCACCATTTAGAGAATGTTTTGCATTTTCCCAATGAATATAAAGCATACTCTGATTGGATGAGGTAAAGAGTGTGACTTCACTGCCCTACCTTTCCATGTTATCCAATCAGAGAACACTTTGCATCTATTCAGAAAATGCAAAGCATTCTCTGAATGGCGGCTGACTTCCTGTGTTCACTATACTGAAGGGCAGCTGCTCAGTACAAGACCCGGAAGCAAGTGGAGATCACTGAATTAGGGGTGTGTACTTCAGTGATTTACAGCTTCTAGAGCACATTTGTCAAACACAAGGCCCGCGGACTGAATCCGGCCCGCCAGGTCCTCTCACCTCTTCTGTAGCTGCATCACCCCATCTCGTCTTTGCCCCCATCTTGTCTCAGCAGTTGGCAGCAGAGAGGAGGTCAGAACTCCAGAGCCTGTGCTCACTCCATGTGCCTCTCTGTGTAGCTGTAGTACCTCCTCATATCCTCCCCCCCTGGTCTCCGCATTCAGCAGAGTCCAGCAGTTGACTCCAGCCCTCCTCTGGTCCTCCTCCAGACCCTGCACTTTTTTCCTTCTCAGCTCCGCCCCCAGCTTCTTTCCTGCGGGGTGCACTATGATGAAGAGGAGGGACACCTGACTTCTGATAAGGGGGGCTCTTGACATCTTATGTAAGAGGGGGTAGGATGCTCCAGGCATCCAGTCTTACAGGTACAACCAGCCCTTTGAGTGCAACCATGATGCTGTGTCCCATGATAAAACTGAGTTTGACACCGCAGGGTTTATTTACTAAAGCTGGAGAGTCCAAAATCAGACTCCCTTCTGCATAGAAACCAATCAGCTTCCAGGTTTCATTGCCAAAGCTTCATTGAACAAGCTGAGGTTAGAAGCTGATTGGTTTCTATGCAGAAGGGAGTCTGATTTTGGACTCTCCAGCTTTAGTAAATAAACCCCCCCTTGTCTAGAGGGATCACCGGGTATAATATATATATATATTGAACTATCTTGCTTTGCATGTAATGAGTCTATCTCATATATTAGTTTCACCTTTTAAGTTGCATTACTGAAATAAATGAACTTTTGCACGATATTCTAATTTTTCGAGTTTCACCTGTACATAGTTATATTGGTCCAAGCAGCACCGATGTAATTTTGTATAAAATATCCATACCTGAAACGTTAAATGTTACCCAACATTTCATATTCCTGATATGTGCCTGTTGTACCATGTACTTGTATGGAAAAGTATCCTGCTATGTGTGTATATCCTTTTTTTATCCCCCACAAATTGTGCTTTCTTACGGTGGTATTTGATTACCTGTGCTTTTTTTTTTTTTTTTTTTTTAAATTTCTTTAAATTTTTTGCACTTTTACAAAAATACATGATTTTGAGCACCTGTGCCAACCTGTAGCAGTATTTCTGCTATAGGGCGGTCGGGAAGTGGTTAATATGTATACACAAATGTTTTGCCTTTCATTTTTATTGCCCCCCCCCCCCCAAACAAAAAAAATGAAAATATTGAGGGGAGGGAGGCAAGAGGGGAATGGGAGAAATTGTATGGGGAAATTGGCTTTAAACCAAGGTAAACATACACACCTAGTTTTATAGTAGGCAAAATGCTATTTTCCATTTTAATAGGTTAATTCAAAATGTGACCAAGCCCCCTATGGGCGGGGAAATGCATCAGAGGGCGTGGCCAGAGTGACAGCTGAGACCATCCACATCATAGTGTCTTCACAGGGCTCCTCGGGACGGGCGTCCATCCTCTCTCCCTGCACTGCTTAGTTTCTGGCACAACGTGGGAAGCTGCTCCTCTCTTCCTTCCCGGCGGGGTGACTGTGTCTTGTCCAGCTTTGAGCGGCGCCATATGCTTGCTACATGAAACATACACATAGTTTTAAAGTAGGGAAATGCTATTTTCTATTGAAATGGGTTCATTCAAAATGTGCTTTTTTGGTTTTTTTTTTTTGTTTATTTTAACTGCAAGAGTTATTGCCTGTTGATCCTGCCAATTTCCTCATGAAGATATTATTTCCTGTGCAGAGTGGACAACATTATTCAGCTGTTGAAATGGCTGACCCTCTTCCCCCAGTGTTGCTGGCACCAGAAAGCTCAGCCGTATCATTAGCTAGGCTAAAGATCTGCTTGTTGGCTACTTCTTCCCTTGAGCATGGCCTGAAGGGCTCATGGCTTTAGTAATCTCTACACAGAGGCTGGCAGCAAGATCCTACATAGAAGCTCCTCTAACGGCCAGGAAGTCATCCATTTAAGCACGAGTTTACATGCCTAAACGTACAGATCTGTAAACCTTTTCTTCTTCCATCCTCTAGTTTGGATTGACATGCATGCTCACATGCCTTTACACACGTTTTAGATGTGTATGAACATAAATTATTGACCACAGTAATTCTTTTGGGTTGAGAGACACTGGGCACAATATAGCACAGAAGACTGAGGGCATACTTGTGGTAGAGAACAGATCCTGAGAACGGCGCTTTAGGCTACTTTCACACTGATCTGGGGTAAAAACGCACATGCGGTGCTTTTTTTTTACAGGACGTGACTTAAAAACCACAAAAAAAATGACATGGGTGTGTTTTAGATGCATTTTTGCCATGTTTTCCATTGACCTCCAGACCTGCACCAAAACTGTGTACAGAGCATCCCCAATCCTCCTCTTCTCAGGTCTGGGCTCCTGCCGAGTGCCCCCATAGCAAGCCTATTTTTGTTTAGGCACTCATGCATGCTTGCTTCCGAACCCTGCTGTTTGTGTTTGTAAGACACACAGAACAGGGCTTGGCCCCACCACTGCTTTCTCCTCACTGGCCATGATTGACAGCAGCGGGAGCCGATGGCTCCTATTGCTGTCTCTGAGCCAATGAGGAGGCAGAGAACCGGGACAGTAGCCGCTCTCAGGCACATCGCTGGATCGATATTGGGCTCAGGGAAGTATTGGGGGAGGGGGGCTGCATACTGAAGGTTTTTATATGCTGGTTTACCACGTTTTGCCGCTCTTTTCAGCGT